CTGGCTTTATTACGTTTTCCAGTGGGCAGGACAGGTTTCTTTTAGGTTAGCGATTGAATTATCTATCTCCTTATGAAAAAAACAACACACAGTTCTAGGGAAGAGTAAAAACTGACTGTCTGACAGCTGAAAGGATCAGAGTAACATTTTCGTAAAAGGGTTGTTTATGTGCTGTAAAGCAATTAGCTTAGAAGGGATGGATCACGTTTCGAAGGGGAATGGAAGCTCAGAATGACCGTGGCTTACAGCAGCACTCACCAGTTCTGACCCTCACGCCCTGAAGAAAGTTCCCAGTTTGTACTTTGGTTGATGATCAGTGTAAATCGGGGAGAATTAATGGTCTCTTGTTATTGTTTGTGTTACAGCAGTTCCTCCTGAGTGCTCCTTGGCTCTGGTGCCACTGACTCCCTGTGTGACCTTGGGCAAGTCACTGCACCCTTCTGAGCACTAATTAATGTTTGTTTGGCGCTTTTGAATTGTAAAGTGAGGTGTGTGTATTGCAATGACCTGCTAGGGAGTGGAGACAAAGCAACAGCAATAGATAATATAAAAGGAACCATTCTCAGCCTTTTGGTCACACAAGCAGTGTATATTAGGTCCCAAAATGCAGACCTGTAAGGCAGACCAGCTGAGTTAATATTGGCCTGTCATGTACACGTGCTTTGGGCATGAAACTTTACCTGATTTGCAGCCCTTCACACAAACAAGGGCTCTTATTGATGTGGAGAGGCTGTAGACCAGGCCTTTTATAGCATCAGTGGGTTCCAAATATTCTCTTTTACTCTGTTGCCAACAATCCAGGACAGGAAGCAAATCTCCCCTGTCCTTTCATCTGTGTAGTAACTGCACTTTGAAAACTCCATTTGCTCCTGCATGTGAAGAATTCTATTTTTTAGAATGGGCCCCTCTGTTGTTCAATGGATAATTTGCTCGTTGAAATAATAATTTTTTCTTGTTATCCAAAGATTTCCAAGCATATTACAAATGTAACTCAGTTCTCATAGTCTACCAGTGGCTATTTGACAGAGATACAAAAATGACCGGAGCAGAGTCACGCAGGATGGCAGCTGCTGTGTTGGAAATAGAACCCAGGAGTCCTGAGTAGCAGTCCCCTGCTTTAAAATCTACATCTCCCAGAGCTGGGACTAGAACTTATGGGTCTTCCCGACTCCTCCTGCTTTGTCTAACTTCTAGATTGGGGTTCTCAACCTTTTTCTTTCTGAGACCCCCCTCAACATGCTATAAAAACTCCAGGGCCCAGCAGGGGACAGGTGGTGGGGACTTGGGGCTCCGGCCTGGCTGTGGGCCCTCGGGCATAGGCTTAGTTTGACTTCTATTTTTGGAGGGCTTGGGCCAGCTCTGCACAGAAGTGTCCAGGGAGGCAGTGCCACCTCCACAGACCACCCAGCCTGTTTGGGGGTTCAGCTCAAAAAAATCTGAAAACTGCTCAGGATCCAGGGAGGAGGTAGCTGGGGGCTGTGTGCGGGCAGGGGGGTAGCTCGGGGTACAGGGAGGGGGGAGCTAAGGGCTGTGTGCGGGCAGGGGGTAGCTCAGGGTGCAGGGAGGAGGG